GGGATAAATAATTGTGCCTATTAATTACCTAATTTGCATAATTAGTTAATTTTCTGCTGTTCTATGATGTCTAAAAAACACTCATTCCATTTCAATGAAACTTTTAAAGAGTACCCATCACATTTCAATGAACCTAAGACTATGCATCCAGTGTTCTCCCCAGGCATGTTCAAGCACGGTGAATTTACCATGCTTGATCTTTCACGAAAACAATAGAAGTTATTCATATGCTAATTAAGGTTATTGTTGCAAGATGATGTGCATATTATTATGTGAATTTGATTATATTGTTATGCAAATTAGCCGCCATGCTTGCCCATTATCCTGGGGAGAACCCTGTATGCACCATACTAGTTTTTGGTAAATATTTATGCTTCTTAATCACCTAATTAACATAATTAATTAATACTGATATCTCAAGTATTGATCATCACATTTGAATAAAACTTGGTACATAAATGCTCTAGGACAATAGACAGTCTGATTAATTTTGGGTTAAAATCTGTTCATATTAATTCTCTAATTAGCATAATGATTAATATTTTTTTGGTTCTAATCACATTTCAATGAAACTTGGTACATTGTGCAGACCTTATTAGTTTTACACTTAAATCTGTTCATATTAGTTACCTTATTTGCATAATTAGTTTTCAGCTATTCCATCAATATCTCAAGTATAAGTAATTTTGAATTAATTTTTAATGTGTCTCCAAAACTCTCAGCACACGGGAGTTCTTTCTAAGCTTTCTTTGATTAAATTAATATTTTTCCATTATAGACTGTAGAATGAGTACTCTCCCATAATGCATTGCGCATATTTGTGGTTACTTGCCAAGCACTGCAAAACTTGAATTCACATTGAACTGTCTTAATTTGATTCATTTTAATACTTTTATAATATAATATTGATTGCTGACCGTGGTCATTTTGTTTGTAGGCTATGTGGACTGGTATATGTTATTCAATAAAAATGTCTATCAAAGTAAACCATTATTAGTATTGCATTATGCATTAAAACATAAATTTTTCTTTATATATTTATAATTGTTTATAAATTTCCAATGGTGATCAAAAAACATTAGGACCAATCACAAGCCTTAGGGGACGAATTCTTCCAGTATAAAACTCCACTGCAGTCAGTTAACCTTTTCTTTGACACTGATACTGGTTCTCGCAATAGATGATTTTCTATTAACTGCAAGGTCCAGAGTTATGGGGGTACCAGAATTTCAAATTACAGTGTATGACATGGTGGAGTGTGTACAAATCCTTTGCAGTCTGAGCAGTCGCTGTGTTGGTGTACAGCATATATCTGGTAGCGTCGCTTATGTGTGGGCTTCAAATACGAATACAAAGGTCAGCACCGTCAATGAGGTTCGGTTGACAAACCTCATTTGATGGTGCTGAACATTACCTTGCATAAAATGTAAACTGCAGTTGACCTCACTGTGATGACGCATGCTTATTATCGGACATAACATTCTCGTTCTTGGTTCATCCTCAATTCTGAAAGCAATTTTTTGGAGATCAACAACTTGGGATTAAACTTGATCAATCAAAGTAAAAACTTGATATCTTTATTCACCTGTCCACAGGGACAGACAATTTCTACATTTACCTGTTTCAGCTAAAATCTGCATGTATGGGACGGACCCAAGATGTTCAATTTCCTTAGCAGTTTAGTTGATTTTCGAAATGGCTCTTTCCTGGCTTTCTGCTTTTGGTCAAATTACCTTAGAAAATGTCTTGTCACATTAAAATTTAACAAGTTTTCAAATCGACTGATTCACATACAATATGATGTCAAAAATTATATTTTTCACATTGGTTTCCCTTATCCTTTTCATGTTTGTGACATGAGTGACAAACTGAGGGTTTATAGCCAACCACCTGTCTGCTTGTCATTTTAGACAGGCACTCCCTATTTCAGCCAGGAACAAAATTTGATAGACTATATGTTTTTCGCTACAGACCCAAACAACTGATACTATCAATATACATTTGTATTTTTTAGACTGGCACTTTTATTTTTCTAGCTATAACCCTGATGGCGGCCATCTTTGAGGTCGATAAAACACATAAATGCATTTGGTGTAAGATGCAATGAAGATCTAATTACATGTACAAAGTTGCACACAATTTGGCGATGATCACGAAAAAAAAGTCAAGACTTGTGTCTATTTCTGGAAACACACGTGTAGTAATTGCAGATGAGTGATTTTGTGAAAGAACTAGTTAGGGTACATCTTTTTGGCTGTTTTTGATTATTCACACGCAAATGATTATGTGCATTCCCTGTTTTTAAATACAGAAATCACCTTGTTCATTTCTGTAAATGCTGTGATTCCTTTTGTTGAAATGAGTTTCATTGTTTGATGCATGTGGAACATGTGTGGTCATGAGATCTTCATCGTATAACACCATATATGGATATCAAAGTTTCAGGGCATGCAAATAACGATAGTCCAATTAACAGTGATTAACAATCTTGCTAGTAGTAACCAAAATTAAAAAAAGTTCTTTAATGTACCAAAATTACGGGTTGTCCTACGCTAAGTTTTTTTTTCCATGTACATGTATTTGCCATATTGTTTGGCTACCTGCTTTAGAAATTTGTAGCCCACTCAGACTCCCAAGGAAAAATGTTAATTTTAAGACCTGATAACCACAATATAGACGATAGATCTTTTCATCAGCCCCCGAACCTGGTCTTGAATAACGTTGTTACCGAGTTTGGTAATGAGAAATTATGTAACAATTTATGATAAGAGATTTGTGAGGTAACATAATGCGTGATGTGGTGTTTCCTCAATCCCTAGCAAAAATCTCAAATTTCAGCTAAGTGTATGTTCAAAAAATATATATATGTGTGACTTGTTTGTTGTTTGGCGACTACCAAGTGTTCTATGCCATTTGAAACTTTGTACCTAAAATGAAACATACATGTACTATATTACAGTCGGTACATGTAGTGTCTCACATTAACACTTACTGTACGTAGCACACAGTAATAGTATACACATCATGTAACAATAATTAACTGCCCTAGCCTAGGAAGTTGTTCATGCTCATATTTGTACCTAAAAAATCATGTCATGTGTGTAACCATTTGTAAATATCTGCATTCAAATTCAAATGTTTAATAGTGATTGAGCTCAACATTGTCTACGCCCATAATGTGATATAGCAACTGCGACCACAACCTTTTCGAAAAGAAGTTTTCCTTGTTTAATAAATCTGATGGTGTAGGCTTATTCATAAGATATCCTTTATATATATGGTTGTGTATCATGTTTCATTTGTTTATTTTATGCATGAAGTTTCAGGTTTAGAAGAATTTTGCTTAAATTTTTTTAATGGTTAGGACAGTTAATTTTCTTGACTTTGT